GTGCAGCAGACTCAAGGTATTTTATTCAAAGCAAAGTCTCCACCCGGTGGAAACTATGTCAGAAATGGCTCAAGATAACAGTGACAATTAACTAAGAATAGGGGACTCCCCACAGGAATGAGGTGGTGACAACGTGTGGATATCACCAAGCTGTGTAACAGACATGCTGGAAGCCAAGGAACCCAGGCTCAACTCACCCAGGGACCCACCTGACCTTCACCCTGCACCCATGTGCCACTCACTGGACAGCTAATTGCACCCAGCAGTGGGGAATCTCTCGGCCTGGCTCTGTCTCTGTTTAATTCTTACTCTGGGAGAGTCCATTTATCTTTCTACTTATATAAGTCTCTTCTCTCTAAATAGACTGAAAGTACCTGGTAGGTAGAAAAATCGTCTTCTATATTTTCCCATACCTACAATACCCATCACAACCTCAGGGGCATGGGGGGCCCAACTGATACTTCAGCTCTCTGCTACTCCAAGTGAGGACATCAGCCTCACCATCACCTAGGAGCTTGTTAGAAATGCAGAATCTCAGCCTCCACCTACAGCCACTGAATCGGAATGTGCGTACCTAGGACTTGCTGTTCTGTTCCTGCAACGTGATCTCACTCTTCCCTGCCTTTGGACACAGGACAGCAAACTACAGCCACAGGCCAAATCTGGTGGCCATCTGATTTTATACAGCCCAAAGTTAAGAATGGTCTTTAAATTTTTAAATGGCTGAAAAAAAATCAGAAGAATGATATTCACATGGTAACGCATGAACACTACAGGAAAGTCAAATTTTGGTATCCATAAAGTTTTATTGTAACACAACCACATATTCCATTAACATACTGTCTATGGTGGCTCCTACACTTCAACAAGCAAGCTGTACAGTTGTGACCTAGACCCTATGGACCTAAAATATGTACTACCTGGCCCTTTACAGGAAAGGTTTGCTGCCCTCTACCTTCGTACATGCCGATTCCTCAGCCCAGGATGCCCTTCCCTCCCCTGTCCATGTAAACAGGGTCCAAGTTCCACCACTGTCTCTTCATTAAACCCTTCCTTCCCTGGCCCCTACAGAGTTAGCACTTCCCAGCTCTGAGCTGCCACAATCCATTCTTCTATGACTAACTTCATGGTTTTACACTCATTTCTTTCATGTCCATTTTATCTCACCACTTGAAGACCGTTCACATACACTATTGACCATCTTTGTATCCCTGGCATGTAGTAGATGCTCAATTAATGTTCGCTGAGTATGGGAATTAGGAAACAGAGAATGTGTATTTATAAGCCACCTGGTTTTATACTTAAAACACACTGTGATAAGCACCATGCAATCAGGTACAAATATGGAGATCTAGCCCCTGATCTCAAGGGACATATAATCTAGCTGGGTAGATAATTCACATAAAAATATACTCTCAGGTGTGATGCGACCATTTCCTAAGGAGAATAATAGCTATTCAATGGGGTCAGGCAGGACAAGGGAATGGAAGGCAACAATAGTGTCAATAGAGAGGAAGCAAGTGGCCAAACTCTCCTGTAACTGTTTTTTTTTTTGAGGAGGAGGAAGATTGGCCCTGAGCTAACATCTGTGCCAATCTTCCTCCATTTTGTATGTGGGATGTCACCATGGGGTGGCTTGATGAGTGGTGTGTAGGTCCGTGCTCAGGATCTGAACCTGTGAACCCTGGGCCGCTGAAGAGGAGTGCAGGAACTCAACTACTACGCCACCGGGCAGGCCCCTCATGTAACTTTTTAAAGGACAGTGTGTATTATAGATCTTATCAAGCATGTTTTAGACTCAAGTCCAGTAAATATCTGAGCACCTAATATGCACCCATTCTGTGCTAGATGCTGTCATATCTTCCCTTCATTTCCACAATAAAGACCCATGTGGACGTGCACTGAGATTGTAGTAGTTCATTGTTAAACCAGGATGAAGTAAAGTTCGTGCTGTGTCGGTGCCGGATGGGTGACAACTGCAAGCAGGCCTCCCCTCAGCATGCTGCCTCCTTCATCCTACTTCATGGCTCCTCAGCTTAAGGTGCATACAAATTACTGAGCACGGCTGTCTACCCAAAGTCACACATACCACACTTGAGCGATTTATAGGCCTCCCAAGGGCAATTTTAACTATAATCAAATTTTGCCTTACATGCTGACTTGCAAACAACCCACCACCGTCCCTTCCCCTGAGACCTAACCACCCGAGGAAGATGCACTGCCTCCGTAACGCAGGACAAGGCAGGACATGGCAGTGCAAAGTAAACAGCCAAGAGAACAGACATACAAACTCAGAAGAGAGACACGAGTGCCACGGTAGCCAGGAAAGACTTGAGGGAAGAAGACACACGTGACCCGAGCTGTAGAGATGGAAAGGATTTGGAGGGGAGAGGTTGCCTTTCAGGTGACAAAAATGTTTGTAACTAGATAGAGTTGTACAACACTGTGAATATACCAAACGCCACTGAATTGTTCACTTTGAATAGTTAACTTTATGTTATGTGAATTTCACCTCGATTAAAAAACACACACACACTGGTTGCAGAACATGCAGACAGCATTTTGCACACTCTCCTGGGACGGGTTCTCACTTCTAGTCTCTGGGAAGGCAGTCTATTCTTTCAACAGAAAGCCACCATTTCTATGAGCCAGATAGAAACACGCTAGAACCAAGGTTCTGTGTTGCCTCTTAATTTTTTCTCACCTTCAAGGAATTCCTTCAAATAAGTCTGACCTCTAGCAGCTTCCTGGAAGCAGTAGAATGCAGGAAAGACGAGCTCACTCTCATAACCCAACTAAAGTGCCACTAAGTTTGTCACTACCCTGTTTTAACCATGTTTAATTCCATCATAGCAAGGTAAAGAACAAGTCTCACCTAGTTATCAAAGAAAAGCTCGTGATTTTTCTTTCAGAAAGAGTCCCGTGTATTAACTGGAGAAGGCAGATGTGTCTGTGAAATGAAAGGCATTAGCCCGAGCTAGCCTCCTGCCCCTGGTTCATCGTTTCCATCTCCACAGTGCCGGCACCAGTGGCACTTCTCCAACACACAGCTGTGGGGAGTGGCTGCCTAGGGCAACAGTGCTCAACCCCGGCTGCACATTAGAACCACCTGGGGAGCTTTTAAGCTTCCCATGCCAGGCAACCCCCTCAGACCAGTTACATCAATCTCTGGGGGTGGGAACCAGGCAGTGTTTTTCAAAGCTCCCCAGGTGCCTCCAATGTGTAGGCAAGTTTGAGAACCAGCTCTCTATGCAGTTTGATTTGGTAACTGATTCTCAGGGCAACACAGACCCTCGTGTGCCCAGAGGCCCCTCCCCACCAGCCTGTGGTTGAACATGAAATTCCAGCAGTGGATTCCTTCTCCTGAGCTAAAGCACTATTTCCAGGGAGCCCCTGCTGAAATGTAAATACAACATCGAGAAGAGTACAGCATTTCTCCACTTAGACGAATGACCATGCAGGATAGTACTGCTGTTAAGTGTGTGGGTTCTAGAGCCAGACAGCCTGGGTAAGAATTCCAACCAGCATTGATCAGCTTGGCTAAGTGGATGAGTGGGTCTGAGCCTGTTTCTTCAGTTATACAGTGGGGTAAAAATGAGAAGTACCTCATGAAGTGTTGTCAGCATTATCCAGTGGTGATGATGGTTATGATACCGTAGACTGTGCAGTCTAAAAGGAAGGATCCTGTGGGATCTCGCACAGCATCAGGGTAGGGGAATGGGCAAATAACAAGCCTTAGGTGTTCCATGTGACTGGGATCCTCCAGATGTCCTGTGAGTGACAGTACATAAGTAGCCATGCTTTGCTTTAAAATCAGTACCTGCATCTAGCCTACTTCAACTCCGCAACCTGAGAGAAGTGATTCTCAACTCTGGCTAGCATACAAGAATTATCTGTAGATCTTTTAAGAAAAAAAGCCCATGTCCCACACTTGAATAATTAAGATTAAACCTTTGGGAGTAGGGCCAAAGCACTGTAATTTTTTTTAAGCTTCCCAAGTGATGACTATGCCATCAGAGTTAAAACCACTGTTTCAGAGTGAGCCTCAGAACCAGAGTGGACCTCTGGGAAAAAGAGGAGAGAGAACACTGGAAACACTGATGCCCTGGAATTATTATTAATGCCACCTCCGTAACCTTATGCTAATTTAAGTACTTTAATCATTTCAACTTAGTTTTAGAACTGAGGTAAGATAAGCAGGGTTGTTACTAATATTCCATAAAAGAGAAAACTGAGGGTACAAAGCACTACACAACCTCCCCATGTTCACAGTGAACAGCTGAGTTTGGAGTAGAACCAGAGAAAAGGTCTCAGACTCTGAGTCCTCCACTGTCCCCCTCATGGAGAAATACTGACTTTCTTACAGCAGCCCAGGTCCCACAGAGTATATATTTTATACAGGTGAAGTGTCTCGTAATTACCCATGAAAAAGTGCAAACATCCATTTACAATGACACACCCAGTTAAGCCGCCAGGTAGTTTCAGAGCTAAGAAACAGGTCGAGTGAAGTTTCGGTTGCTACGTAGCCACGACTGGAAGCAAGGCAGTCAGGGCACAGTCCCCCGGGGCGTGAACAAGAGGGGACCCCACAGCTTAAGGTGGTGGCTGACCCGATAAACTGACTGTCCATTCCTATTCACATTTAGGGGACAGGGAGCAGGCACACTGTCCGCCTCGTTCATGGCTGTGCCCCTTGTGCTAACATGATGCCATGGTTTAGCAGGCACTCAAGAACTGCTCCATAACTGAAATCAGCGCTCTGGTTGGGGGTGGGGACAGGAGCCCTTTTGATAAAACAGAGAAAGTACTCAGGAGCACTTGCTATTCAGGACATGAATTTCATTCTAGAACTCATTGAAGACGACGCAAGATCAAGTTAGTGAGCTTCCATCCCACAAGAAGCATAGAAGCCACTAAATTTCTCCATATGGGACCAGTCTGAGAAAGATCATAGAGAGAAGCAGCAACAAACAAAAGTCACCAGCACAAACGTGAGTAAGGGGATAGGCTGTGGGTTTCAAGGGAAAACATAATCGTTAAAAGGCAGGGAGGTGAGACCTGGAACTCAGGCCGCCCGAAGCCCGAAAGATCACACCCAGCGAAAGAACAGAAAGCTGCTTCCCCAGCCTTGCCTGGAGCCCCAGGTCCCGGCACAAACTGCTGCAAGGGTGTGCTGAGAACCACAGAGCTGAGAGACTATAGAACCCTCGAGGCCAAAGTACGCATGCCCCTTTATAAAAGGACGGGCATTCCATAGCTCAGTTCTTTAGTGAGGTTAGGAAAACACACTTAGACACTTAAACACAGCTCAAAACTGTCATAAATAGTGTCCTCCTTTATGGTGTAAGTGTGTCCATTTTGAAGCTTCTCCTGTTAAAGAAATAGTTCTATGGAGGGGGAAGCAAGAAAAAACACTTCCAAACTAAGCTAATAGTTTCCTCTTAGCACCATCACAAGAGCAGTTTCCCCTGGTACCAGGTGCCTAGTAGGGTACTGCCATGTTGAAAGAACTATGAAAACAACTTATCCAGCGGCCCTGTGGTAGGGAGTGGGTCACACTTCATTCTTTTGCAATAGTAGGAGTCTGGAGGACAAAGACCAGGCTTTTTACCCTATCTGAGCTGAACTTCCCACAATCCTCTGCACAGTTATTGATGTCTGAAGATTGTGTTCACAGGCCCAGATGCCAACTGCATCCTGAACGCAGAGGTGATGAATAGTCCCCCAAATTTAGGGCGCCAAAGTCAAGACCATCCCAACCAGTATGTCACCCAGCATCTACCCTTCGCATCAGTGAGCTCCCACCAGGAGAGCAAGGAGGTTAACATTCAGGTATCAGGTACTAGCCTCAACTCCCATCCCAGCCTCAGCTTCCTCATCTGAAAAGTGGAGAAATATCTTCCATATTCGAGTTGCTGTTAGGATCAAATGAAATGATGCATATAAAACATTTAGCACAGTATCCAGCACAAAGTAAGTGCTCAATAGTTATTGTTACTATGTCAGGAACTCAGGCCCTGGGAGTGAATGGGACGTGGAGACCTCCCTCTAGGAGAGCACAGCCAGAGCCACCTAGTCCCAACAGAACCACGTGCACACAATGCCATGGGAACAGAGAGGCTCACCCCTGCCAGTCTTTCCTGCGTTAGTTAACTCCTCCTCCACCAGCAGAAACTCAAGCTTCCTGGGTTCTGTTTACTCATCCCACTACAAACTTCCTGGTACAGTAATAACCTTCCCTTTTCCCCAAATGCTCTCCACTGGGAAGCTCCCTGTGACTTAGAGCCAGAGAGAATTATATGTACATATACTGTTTATCCCGAGCGGACGAAGTAACTGAAAATCCACGCCTGATTTCTAGGCCAATCAGGTAGGTTTCCGAGGCTCAACCCAGACCTCTTCTGAACTTGCTCCATGTTCTTTCCTAAGAGAGAGAACCAAGTTAAGCCTAATGCTGGGAGGAATTTAAGGCATAGAGATTGGGAGTGCAAAAAGCCACTCAGCATCCTTGGGGTAAAGGAGGACAGAAAAAGCAGAGAAGCAAACTTCATTCTATAACGTATTAAATGCACAGTTAAACAGCATAGTTACAGTGAAACCCAATACTTCCCATCACGTCAATGAAACGAAAGTCAAACATACCAAAGGCAGCTCAATCTACATATTTCTGGCACTGGGCATCACAATCATATTTTTGATCTTTGCTATCCTTTATGCTCACAGCACTATGTCTCCTCAACCCAGTCTTTTGAGGAAAGATTCAACTCTTTCTGATCTCTGATTACATCATCAGTCACAATTTATGTCTTAACCCACATTTTCTATCTGTGTTTGAAGCTAATGAAGAACCAAGTCTCTGTGTGGCTTTTGTAGGCAAAATTTACCTGTTTACTGCCCTGCAGATGTTGTTAATAGAGTAAGCAGTATGTCCTCAAATGATAAATGGACAAGACGGCAAGTGCCCTGATCTTCAGGGAACATTGCTGAGTCATTTTATCCAGCCAGTTTATACCAGCAAAGCACTTGTTGATGATGGGAGCTGCTGTGATACCAGAGGCTTAGAAATAGCTGTAGAGTAGAGTGCAGATGTTGAAGTTTTGGAAAGATCACTGAAAGTTCCCCGATTAGAAGCGGTATGTCTACGGCAAGTCAGTTCTGTAAGGCTGCACTGTTACATCCATTTAACCTGCTTGCCTAAGAAGCTAAAAAGGAAGACTTACTCAAAGCAAGTACATTTCATGCAGCTAAATACATGTCTGGATCCTATCAAGAAGCTAAAGCTTTGTTGAAATCCTACTTCCAGCAACATGACTACATCTCTTGGACTGCAAATTCTCTCTACAAGGAGCAATGTAAGTCAGGTTACAAATGTAAGTCATTTAATAGTTTTCCAGAGCACGCCACCTTCATTTCCACATAAGCTCTGTGAAATACCCCTACTTTTCAAATCCATGCATGACCATTACTGGATGGTTGCTTTTCCCTTTTGTCCTGTAGGTGTACACTCCTGATCTTCACAAAGACCGGTATACTGCTTTTCCCAAAGAAACAGTCTAACAGTTTACGATACCATAATGTTTATTAAAAGGCACAGCCCTAGAAATCTTCACCAAGTTCCAGTTAAATCTGTTTGCTTCCACTTTTTAAATTTAAAACCTCTTCCATTATTTGATCTCTCTAAGCAATCAAAGCCAGCGCTGCCTGAAGTCATTTCAGGCTAAGCTGTCTTCTGCAAACAGAAGTTCAGTGATCAAAATTAAGTAATTGCAAGAATGCATTCATTGGAACACTACTATTTTCTGAGGAAAAATTTAGGGGAATTGCCCTGTGCCTCTGGACACATCAGTACGTTCATTTGCTTTTCCTTTGTCTTTAAGAGATCATCTATCTTAGAACTTAAATGCCTTATATACTTGGCATTTGGGACTCAAGCCAGCTCTCAATCTTCCTTTTACAGGATGAAGCACACTAGCCTCCCCATCCCCGAGTATTCACACACTTCATCTTTGAAGTGAGTCAATATTCTTCAGCTGGTGCACGTCCCCCACAAGCTACAAGGCCCACCAACCAGAACATAGATTCTAGTTCATTCACTCACCAGTAAGTATTTATTGAACATCTACCATGTGACGGGTACTGTGCAAGTGCTAAGACACAGTGAAAAAAAATACAGGTCCCTATCTTCAAGGATGCCAGACCACATTATGCAACTAATCTACTACAATGGTTGTAACTGCTTCAAGAGCACAGAAATTCACAGCATACAATAGGGGACCTAGTCTAGTCTGCATCATCAGGAAAGGCCTCGCTGAAAAAGCCAGATTCAAGCTGAAACCTAGATAGTAAAGAGTTGGCTAGGCATGGTGGAGAGAGAGGGGTGTTCTAGGCTGAGACATTATCTGTGTCACAAGCCTCGTGCAGGAAGGAGTAGAGGTCCCTGAACAACTAACAGAAAGCCAGTAGGGGTGAGACACAGTACAGAGGAAAAGGCCTCAAGATGATGCTGGGGAGAGATGCAGGAGGTTCTTAGGAACCACATTACAGATTTTTTCAATTATTCCATGGCCAATGGAAAACCATGCATGGGCTTTAAATATGAAGAGGGACACGGTCAAAACTGCACAATTAATGGATCAGTACTTACAGATTGATGTGTAAGGAAATAGAATCCTCGACATAAGAGCGTAGTTAAATCTTCCAATGTGCATGCTCTGCATCCTGCCCCACTGTCCTCAGTGAGCACTCACAACGAAAATGAAACCAAGGGCATCGTTTAATTCTGCCTCGTCCCCAAACAAGCCGTCTTCGAAATTCTGTTCCTGAATATTCCTATTTCATTTACTCGATACTTTACCATTCCAGACTGCTAAACTGTCATTTCCACCACACTTCTTTAGTGATACACAGCTTCTGATTCCTCTTTACCCCTGTATTATTTTATTTCATCTTCACCCAGGTCTTCCAACTCTTTTCCACTGTATTTTTCAACATGGAACTTATTTGGAGTTTCAGAGAGCTGAGTGGAAAAAACTAATGCTAAGAATGAAAAGGCAATGTTCAATCTGGGTACATTAGGAAACAGGCACAGTAATAGCATCTAAAATTCTGTCGCCTCAGGGGAAAGGGAAAAATGTTCCAGAACCAACACACACACTCACCGAGTAGCAGCCACGAAACTGATTGTGACTTTAGAGCCAGGAAGTTAAATGGGTGTCTGCTGCTTAAATCACCATTAACCAAAGACCTTAAAATGATGCCTCTGATTTCCATCCTGGTGCTGAGAGGAATTACTGAGCAGCCACTATCAATAATGCATCCTGCCTATTTGGAACAGAGTCATTCTTTGGAGAGTTCTATTCAGTGTTAATTCCCCAGGATGATCACAGCCAACTCATTGACTCTACGCCAAATGATTGTATTTTAAAGACCGATTCAGGTTTTATACTGAAGTGTCGCTTCAGGTCCAGTTGAAAAGTGGGTCTGCAGCTTGAGAGAACTGCTGTCCTGACCCTCTATGTTACTAACCAGAAAAGACTTTGGAGAGTTCCAGAAAAATAGCAGAGGACAGAGGTGGTTGGTGTGAAATGCACCCGTTAGACACTCTACTCTGAAAGATTCTGGGCATATGTAGGGGGGACTCATCTCAATGAGAAAACTTAAAGTGAGAGAACGTGGGTTCATCCTCTCAGTCTAAAACTTCCCTGCCCCCCCCACAAATAGGTATCAATCATCACGAAAAACCATTTGAGGAGGAGGTATGAAATGAGCGAGGGGATCACCATTACTTCCTGTTGAATTTGTACATGGGTCGTCTATTGCTGGACCTAATTTTTGATGTAGGAGTTGAAGTCTCTGCCTACTGCCTCTTTGACTCACCTGAATGGCAGGAACACACCATTAGGTGAGCGGTGCTGCTCTGGAACGCTATTGCTCAGGGTCTGAGTTATCATGGCTACTATTAAAAACACAGTGACCCATGAGGGAAGGTGACAAAGAAACACTCCAGGCTTGCTGGTGCTGTTCACCTTACCAAGTATACTACAAGCACGTTCTAGAAGAGTTATGCACACAACACTTTTAACTGGAAACATTTTAAACCCAGAAAAGCTCAGAAACCGAGACAACATGAGGAAGTCCCATTTCCCAACAAAATTCTCACTTTCATACAAATGCCTCATGCACTAGATAACCAATAAGCTTTTGGCAAATGCATAGGGGAATCATGGTGGGTGTTGCATCCCAGGTACACAAGGCAAGGTGTTCAATTGTCCAGATTCTGGACAAAGTCTGAGTCACTGTTCTTTCTGGTCCATTTAGGTGTTAAAATAGGGGTGCATTCCAGGTCTACAGTTCTAGCCTAACCCAGTGGCCTCTGCCACTTTCCTGTTTCCAAGGTCTTCCTGGAGACCCAGCACAGCACAGATGAGAGTTTAGGGGAACATCACAACGGAACAACCACAACATCACCAACAAAGCTAAGTGATCCGAGAAGTCCCCACCTTCAACAAACTGAAAACGTACAAAAGGAAAGAAAAGCAACCGGTCCAGTTCTGGACACAGGGTGAGTCATAGTTATTCTTTCCAAGACAACTGAGAACACAGAGCTGAAAATGTCCAGCAAAATCCAATTGTGTCTTGGTGTGTTGGTCTGGAAGGCAGGTTGCCAAGGGTACGGACCTCCCTCGGCATCCAAATAGAGCTGCCTTGGATAAATTATTCAAATTCTCCAGGCCTTGGTCTTCCCAATGAGTAGGGTTAACTAAAAGAAGCTCTAAACACTATGTCTGCACTTATCATTCAACTACCTCCCTGTTTCTCAATAAGAGGGCTGCCTATGGCAAAAGTCTTTTCATGTCAACCTCCAACACATCCATGGAAAGACCATGGTTTGTGACTCGAAAGAAAGGCCTCTCTCTGATCTCAGAGACCACAGGAACCCAGTGTTTTGTTTTTAGATAAACAAGGTTCTCTCCTTATTTAGCAGGTGAGGGAAACAAGGCCCCCAGAAAATCAGTACCTAACACAAGAGCACACTGCTCTCTAGAGTCAAAAAAATGTCCTAAGAACCAGCAGTAAATGGGTGAAAGAAGAAAAGTTCCCTGGTAAAAAATAATCACCAGATGTTTAAAATAGACCACTTATTGGCCCTTCCCTCTCCTGCTGGATCCACCATCTGCTTGTGTTTAACACAGCTCCTTCATATTTTGGTTAACGCTTAGCTCTGGAGTCTGTTTTTACTGCTGACAGAAGGATGAAGAATAGTATCATGTTATGACAGAGTTCCACCCCTCACAGCTGAGATATTAAATCACCAAAATGTCACTAAGTTTCTCCCTGCAAAGTCCAAACATTCCACCCCACATTCAAGGGCTTCATACGAGCTTAATGTTGTCCAGCCTCATTATCCACTAGCCCACAGCTGGACGAGGCACACTGTCCACTGTTCATCTGTAGTATCCTCCTTTCCATTCACGTCTTGCACATGCTCATCCCCACTGCCCAACTCCTAAGTGCTGTGCAGCTAAGAAAGTACTTTATTTAGAAAGTGCATCGCAGCTTTCAAAGAGCTTTCACAAACATGTAGTCTTAGAATTCCATGAGAGACAAAGCATAAGTGCTCCTAGACACATTTTACACATGAAGGACACTGAGACCCAAAGAGAGTAAGGGACTTGGCCAACTAGGGCCCCTAGAAAAGAATGGGACCCAGAAACAGAGCTGACTCCCCAACTACTGTTCCTTTCACGCCTCCAAGCCCTACCCAATATTCAAAGCTTAATTGAAGAATTCCAATCAGTCACCAAGACCTGTCAGTTCAACCCTATTCACTCAGGCACCTAGAACACGCCAGATACTGTTGACATCTCCTTCTACTTCAGCACCTTCTCTAGATTCCCACTCTGCTGCCTCAGTTCAGGACTTCATCTTTTACCTGAAATATTACAATCTATTCCTAATTGGTCTTCATGCCTCCAATCTCTCCCTACTCCAACTGACCTTCTAGACAGCTTGCTTCTGGAACAGTCAACTGGGGTGAGAGTAGGGGACAAAACTGTCCTCAGGGGACATTTGGCAGTGTCTCCAGACATTTCTAGTTGTCACAATTGGGGCGGGAAGGCTGGTGGTGCTACTGACATCTAGTAGGTAGAGACTAGGATGCTAAACATCCTACAATGCATGGGACAGCCCCCACAACAAAGAATTATCCAGCCCCAGATATCAATAGGGCCAAATTGAGAAACTGTTCTAGAGTTATCATCCTAAAAAATAAAAATAAAAATAAAAACTCCTCATTCCTCATGAAGTCATCCCTTTACTTAAAAACGTCCATGTTATTCACAGGACAAAGTTCATACAAGACTGTTCACAGTCTGGCCCAAATGAATTTTCAGACCTCCCCCTCCACTATTCCTACCCTCCTGCCACACTAACCTTCTATTTCCAAATACTTCACCAGCTTTCCTGTCTGTGTGCCTTTGCTCGTGCTTCTTCCTCCGCCTCAAATATCTTCCTCCCTTCCCCACTGCTATTCCCGCTTTAAGGTCCAGCTTGAGCATTACTTCCTTTGTTGAGCCTTTTTGTTTCCGCTAGTCCAAGCGGTCTCTCTCCTCTATGTTTTCACTATAACAGCCGTTAATTGTATTACATTCACTTGACAGGTTTTTCCCTTCCCTCTAGTGTAGGAATAAAATGTCATTTATCTTTATGTCCCACACATATAGAAGAGGGCCTGGGAAGTACTTCAGTCGGTGCTGGTTGAATGGATGAACTCCAGCACTGTAGATTCTTGCTTCTCATAGCGAGAAACTACAGCCTCTTTCCCGGCGGAAATGCTAAGTATAGTACTATCTAACTAGCCCGTCAGCACAGGGCTGTCGCCAGCTTGAACATCTGGGCACAAGGAGAAGCAGCTTTGTCTTCGAACTTCTACGCGACGTCTGATGATGCTGCATTTCTCTCTGCAGAGTTAGCAATAGCCACAGCTCCTGTAACTTCTTAGGTCTTATCTGTCAGAACTCCTCGTTCTGTGAGAATTTCTGGGTTCTGCAGATTTAGAAAACTTTGATTCAATGGGTGTGTTAAATAAATGTAATGTTTTGTGTTTCTGGAAGAACACCAAAACCAAGATCCTTAGCACAGGACTAACAGTTATAGGGTGCACCCAAGAGACATTTTAGAAAGTCCCAGGCTCCTGCCCTGTTCTCAAGGGACAGATCAACAGCTGACCTCCAGGATGCGCTGCGTCACACAGACTATCCATCTTCCATCACTGAGAACAAGCAACACCCACAAAGCTTAGGCTAAAGGGAAACAGGAGGAACTAGAAGTCATCAAGATCTCCTAGGCGCCTCCAGGCCCGGTTAATTCTGCAGGGACTCCCCTCAAAACCTCTCTGTGGGCTCCAGAAAACACTGAAGTCAGCCCTGAAGAAACTGAATGCTATGGAGAAGGGGTACTCTGACTGCCCAGGCAAAAAGTAGCCAGATGCAGCTTCCGTAACCAGAAACCACTAAAAAAAGAAAAAACCGTGAACAGTACTTAGCATTTGCCTCCAACCTGTGAGGACAGAGGAAAGAGGCCATAGTCCAGCTGAGGCTCTTACATGCTTCAAGGATCCAGTGCCACGTCTGGAAAGCACCTTAAGCTGATAGAAAAGCAGCACAATTTGTGGAAGAGACGACAGTAACAATGAATGGTCTCATGTTCAGGGAGTACGGCCTGAAGAAAAGTTAGAAATGGGGGCTGACGTCTGAATGCCGGTCTCAGCCCTGTCACTAACTGCTGCGTGACTGGGACAAACTGTGTCTTCACTGACAAAGACTCACTTTCTTCCTCAGTTTCCTCATTTGCAGGAACTGCCTGTCCCACCACACAAGGACATCAAAGGAGAATAATTCCAATCCAATCCAATTCCAAGATAGTAAACCCCTCCTAGGGCCAAAGATGATGCTGCCAGGCACTGTGGAGGGAAGAAGTCCAAGATACATTTTTGCCCTTGGAGAGCTAAACAACATTCTTAAACAGACAACGCGTAAAAAAGGAAACATTAATCATCAATTAAAGGTAAGTGGCAGGATGCAGAGTTACTGGAGATCAGCACAGAATGAAACCCAGTTAGTGGTACCAGTCCTCAGAGATGCTGAAATGGAAGCTCACTCTAGCTGGACATCCAGGAGGAGTCCCTGAACAGAACTTGACCTGCATGACCAGAAGCAGCTGTGGGACAAAGGCCGATATTCCAGGCAGGAGAGTGCAAGGCCATCAGCTGGGTTGAACTAGGGACTTACGGACAGGTGTGGTGAGAGGTAACTTCAAAAAGGCAGGTCAGAGTCACATCCCAGCAGAGGACTTAATTCCCAGCTAAGATTCTCACCTAATCCTCTCCGTGGGAGACGCCAGAGAAAGTTTATGAGCAGTTGGCTGGTGAGTACAAAATATGTTTATAGCTGTCGAGCATTATACAAATGCAAACTGTTATCATTGCTATTCTTGGCACCTACTGAAGCCCTGCACCGTGTAAAGGGTGCCCAGATGGCAGAATAAAAACATTAAAAGATAGACCAGTGAATAATTTATATCAGTTTAATCACTTAAAAATACTCTGCTTCCAGATGGAACTGGCAAGATAAGAAAAGCCCAGAACTTCTGGAAGCTAAGCAACTAAAATCAAACCAGTGTCTTCCTCTACACGAACGTACTGTTAGAAGCCAGGTTTCCGAAACAACTCAGCTTTCTTGACCAAACTCTGGTCTTCCCCCCTCCCCGCTTCCTTCCTTCCTTGTTTAGTTCACTAATTCTTCCCTCTCTCTATAAAATCCTGATGGAATCCTATGGCTGCTCTCACACGTGTAACACAGCCCCCCCCCTTTGCACTGAGATCTAGACCTACATATCCAAGTCAATGTTTTTATTGTAGTATCTAATATGTATCAAGAGTTCAAAAGGCCAAACAGGGACTTGGAATCCTATCCTACCCCTCACCTGTTTCTTTCCCATCTCAGAAAAGGATACCTCGATCCACTTGGTTGCTCAAGCCAAAAGCTTAGAGGTTGTCCTGGCTTCCTTTCTTTCTCTCGTATCCACATCCAATCCATCAGCAAGTCCCGTTAGCTCTGTCTCCAAAAGATATCCTGAACCTGACACTTCCCCATTCACCCTGTCCCTTCCATTCCCTCCTGGACTGTTCCACACCCTCTGACCAGGTCTCTGCTTCACTCTCAACCCCTAACAATCATTCTCTAAAGAGCAGTCAGCCTTGTTGTTGTTTTTATAAGTACATCAGATCATGTCACTCCCCTCCTTAAACTTTTGCACTGCGTTAAGAATAAAATCTGAACTCCTCATTGAGGCTGTCAAGCCCTGCATGTCCTTTCCACCAACCCTATCCCTTTCCATCCCCCAGCACATTGCGCTCTAGCCACATGGGCCTGTTTTTTCTCAGGGCCTTTGAATTTGCAACCCTCCTTCAGCCTCCCGTGGCTCTGCCTTGTCATAAATCTCAGCGTAAATATCATCCTTCTAAAGAGACTTTCCTGACCAACTAGTCTAAAAACAGGCCCTGTTAATAACTTTCTCCCACGCCCCCTTGTATTTTCTTCATAGTATTTATCTGAAATGAGGGTGTTCATCTCTTGCCTATCTCAGGGTCATACATGTAAGCTCCAGGAGGTTAGAGACCTATTTTGTTCAAGGGTACATCTCCAGTGCCAAGAACAGCGCCCAGTGTACAACAAGCGCTCAAATATTTGCAGAGGAACCAAATCTGAGCTAGAACAGCCATGTTTATTACAGGTGCTTCCCCTCTGGAGGAAATGGGAGCATTCCAGTTGTCCTTGCTCCAGTGCTAAGGTTCAGACTGGAGAGAGGTCTCTGGATTCCATGGGTGTGGGGAGACTTCACAGAAAAGAGACAGGATAGAGAACAACAAGAGATCTCTAAGGTACATGCCAAGACACTGAAGAATCCGTGTTTTAAGCATCTACTGGGGAGTGAGAAGTATGGGGGGAGGGAGGCTGACACACAGGAGCAGCATCACTAATTCCATAGCATGACTTAGTCTACTATTTCCCTTCTTCACAGCAGGTTAAAGAAAGATTGGCTTTCCTGAGCACCACCATGAGTCAATCTTCATACCAAGCATTTCTATCTGTTATCATTTAACCCTCATAACTCTTCCAGTGAAGCACTATATCCCTCTTTTCTATAAATGCTGGGGCTGTAGCCCACAGAAGGTGCATCTCTCTCTGCCCAAGGCCATGCAGCAATGGCAGAGCAAGTCGGATCCCAGTGTGTTTGAGGTCTTTCCCTTTCCACTCACTCTGTACTGTGTTCCCCAAGGAAACCAGGAGCTTTTGGATTCAAAGTAGCATGTGCTCAAGGCAAGGAGAACACAGCACAGGAAGCCCAAGTCCCCTATAAACAAGCTGTGATACTCAGTTTGGCTCAAGGAGAGACAAGCTTTTGTCCCTATTGTGAGTATGCAGCCAGAAACCTGGGCCAATGACTTCTGGCTCCCAGCACTCCTTCCTGTCACCACCACCCCGTTTCCAAAGATAAACATCGGTGGCAATGTGAAGCTCTACCATAAACGTACATCAGGCCAGGGCATGCCACGCTGCAGAATGATGAGAAGGGTTGGACTCCAGCTCAGCAACTCCTACTGCAAATTGCAATCTGAATCCAAGAGTGTCTCCAGGATAACTCCTGTTAACCCTCCACTGACATCTCCTGGATGATCTCATTACTTGAAAAATAGCCTCAAATGAAGCCACAGCTGTGAGGGCAACAAGAAGGAAGCGTTGGCAGCCTGTTTCTTTCTTTTTCATTTTTTTTAATTGCAAAAGGTGTGTCAAAGAGAAGTCTTTAGCAGAGGCAGAGCTCATTCACTGCTGAGGGGAAATGCTAAGCATGAATTCAAGATCCTTCCCCTGGCTGTGCCAACTGAATGGAAAGTGAGCCAGTCGTGAGCTTACGCACTTGAAGCGGCAGCAATGGACTGTCATACTATGTTCCCTCTATTGGAGAGGTATGACTTGCCGCCGTGGGATGGAGGCAAAAAGAGGAAGGAGGGAAAGGACTGACAAAATGGGAGAAAAGGAAAAAAGAGAAAAAGTGGAGGAAAAAAGTATATTAATTCCTAGCAATAGTGTACTAGCTAATGGTCACCTCCTTTTTGTTCAGAATTGGTCAACTGGGGTCAAGATTCCAATGAGCTAGTTCAGGGATCTATTCACTTGGGCGTTAACAGCCTTCTGCCCTAAGGAAAAGGCATGGGTACGAGTGACCCAAACCAGCACATACTCTGGTTCTATGGCATCCTGTGGCCAACTCTGTACACCAGTCCAGCGGAAAGGAAAGCACTAGGTGCATACACATCTGCAGTAATGCCTCCCAAGCTCCTCAGAACTCTGAACTCATCAGGACACACCAGGCATCCATTCCTGCCCTTTCTGTCCCTGTTATAATACAGCCACAGTCTTGTCGTATTCCTAGGAATGACAAAGGCGATTCAGTAGTTGGTCTAGATAAGACACTTCCAAAAGTTGGCCATGAACTGATGCGTTCTAGGCCATGGCACCCTTCTCGTATAAACTGGCCCTGGGCAGGAGTGACTGGCTAGCTCTATTCACAGTCTTCAACAGCCAGACATCTAAACCATTGCCTCTGCTACCTTCCAGCTCCTTTAAGAAAAGGCCAATAAAACAAACAGAAGTTACTCTAGTTTGGTTCTCAGAGTTCTTCCAGAATATTCCCAATTGAGTGAAGTAACATTAAACAAGTTTGACAATGATTGTGATAAAACTAGACAGGACACTCATGCTTTGCTCTGTGTTACACTACAAATAAAGAAATCCAAACTAACAAATTTGTATTTAAAACCAAACCAAACAAGATAATAGCATAAAATAAAATTTTGGATATTTTTCTTCATTACAAATATTCTTTAAATATATTCCCTTTTGATTTCTATAAGGATGCCAACTGTCTTTATATGCGAGGGACTACTCTTTATGCTGAGATTATGTCCTTGAAAAATGTCTTCTCTTTTAAGAAAAAAATGGGGATGTAAATTGCAGTTAGGGTTTTTTGTTTAGGGTCAAAAAAAGCTGAAAACCTACATCAGTGACTTGTCATCAGACTTTCTTTTTGTTTTTACTAGCTCATGAAATCCAAAGTCTGGGAACTACTGGTCTACGTGTTCAGGTTGTGGAGCACACCACTGCTTGGAGTATAAGCAGGGTTCTAGAAACCACAGATGCTTGCTACTTTACTGCATGCCTGATTACAACTAAGAAATCCTTCTCTAAGAGAAATGAGACTATAAACTCAAAGTGGCCCTAGATCCAGCCACTTACCTCATGCCTGTCATGTGCTAACAGGTGATCAAGACAAGAAAATTAGGTCAAAGATTCAGTGGTCAAACACACTTCAGGAATGCCGCATGGTCCATTTATTTCTTATAGGTTCATAATGTTCATCTGCACATTCAAGGTTCCGAAAGGTTCTGCATTTAAAAAGTCTGCTTAATCAGAATTTCTCAATTATATCTGACTAAGGAGCTTTATATTTTAAAGGAACACAACTTCTGGAGAGGTATTCCTGTTCCATGAAACACACTTTGGGAAACAAAGGCACAGAGAGAAGAGCAATTCAACAGGAGCCAGGAGCCCTCTCTGCTTCTCACTTGCTCTGTGACCTGGGAACAAGACACCCTCTTCACACCAAGGCTCTATGTTCCTACTATAAGTTTCCTCTTCCAGCCACTTTGCTGGTCCCTACATGCTACAATAAATAATACATCTGCTGGCCTCTAGTCAACACTCTCCGTGAACCAGAAATTCCCATTATCACCAAAAACCTGAAACGAAGAGGAAAAGAAACACACAGGTTAGCTCACAAAGCAGCACGCCTGGACTTGGGGAGGCGGGGCAGTCAAGGAAGCAAGATTACAACATAGGAGCCAGGCCAGTAATGAATTCTAGGGAAAGTGGGAATACTCCCTTTACCCTAAGTCAACCCATCTCCTCAAGGTCAGGGCTTATACCAGAGTTTCCAAGTAAGTATCCAATTCTTGTTTAAGTGCATACCCTACTGGAGGAGGTCCTACAGATGAAAGGCACGAATGAGCCCTCGATAGCTTCTGACAAGTAAGCTCCAGGTCCCTGAGCACCTTGGGAAGCAGACTTCCACCTAGGTCCCTTTGCATCAGGCTGGGCACACCATCACATGCCATTCAGTCTTATTACACCATATTGACAAAAGTGTGAAAGCACATTTTGGCGGGTTTTAAGGTGAACTGTTCTACCTAAGTCCCCGGAGGGCAGGAGAGGGTAGATTCATACTGTTCACCCACTAGAGTTCTGATGGGCACGTTTCACTTGATAGTGCATGAGAATCTGAAAGAGTGATCAACTTTAGTCATCAGGGAAATGCAAACTAAAAACACAAGATACCACTATATGCCACCATGATATATACTCACTAGAATAGCTGAAACAAAAAAGACAAAAGCAAGCATTGGCAAAGATGTGAGACAATCCGAGTTTTCATACACTGTTCCTGGAAGTGTAAACAGGTACAACCACTTTGGAAAACTATTTGGCAGTATCCACGGCTGAACACAATATCCCCTATGACACAGCAATTCCACGCCCAGATAAGTACTCAACAGAAATGCATACATACATTTACCAAGACAGGTCCAAGACTATTCTGCAGCATTTTTCGAGTGCCTACAATTGGAAATAACCCAAATATCCATCAATATTAGAATGGGCAAATAAATTCCAGGATATTTTCACTGTAGTATACCATACAGCAATGATAATAAAGAAACTACAACCATATGCAACAAGGATAAATTCCAAATATAATGTAGAGTGAAAGAATACAGATACACACTAAATTATTCCATTTATACCAGCTTCAAAAACAGGCAGAGGTAAGCAGTGGTGTTAGAAGTCAAGATACAGTTACTCTTGGAAAGAGTACAGCAACTGCCAGGGTTCACCAAGGAAGTTTCTGGGGTTCTGGTAAGTTCTGAGTCTTGTTCAGGGGCTGGTCACAGGGGTGGGTTCAAAATGTGATAGCACATCAAGTTGTAGCCTTATGATTTATGTATTTTTCTGAATAGGTGTTTTATTCCAACAAAATATTTACTAAAGAAGTTAGTGAATTTTGCATTCTGTTGTACAACCTCTTCACATGTGTGTCTATATTATTTCAGCTTTTCCCAAAATCTTTCAATAAAATTCACATTCTAGGAAAATGTGCCACACTTCACCTGTGGCTTCTTTTCCCCCACAGATATTGCCACATACCCCCCAGGTTTGAGAAGGTGGGGGTAACAGAATCCACCTGTGGGTCCCCGCGGACCAATCACTGTCTTCCTTCCTCCACTTACAAGCTAGAAGCTCTGCCTAATGAAAGCCCTCTTCATTTCCTTCCCTCTGGGCATAGCCCTCTCTCTAGCCCTGGGATAGAGAAATCTCACTCACTTTTAAATACGTTCTAGTCTCACTGACACTGAAGATCATGAATGGATGATTGCGTGAATGGCTGCCACATCTTCTGTACAGCCATTTCCTACTCTCCCAGGTCCCTGGAGAATCCAGGCCTCAAAGGAGCTGGCATTGAGAGAAGGTATGGAACAGGCACGAGCCTCTGCACCAGTGGAATCTGACTAAGTGTGGGGCAAAGCATCTGGTATTTCACCCCTAGGCTACAGTCCAACCAGGGAGTCTCCAAAGGAATGGCTGCCCTCAATTCTGCCTGGGTGAGTCTACACTAGGCAGATAGAGGGTGAGGGAACTGGGGAGTGTCTCAGCAAGCCCTTGGGAGCAGCCTGATTCTACAGTGGTTTGATATCAGTCAACCAGATTACCCCCATTTAACCACCTACAATAGACTGGATGTTTGTGTCCCCCCACCAAATTCACTTGTTAAGTTCTAACACCCAATTAGATGGTATTTGAAGGTAGGACCTTTGGGAGGTGATTAAATCAGGAGGGTGGAGCCCACATGAACAAGATCAGTGCCCTTATAGGAGACTCCAGAGACCTCCCTTGGCCCTTCCACCATGTAAGGCCACTGCAAGAAGACTGCCAACCATGAAACAGGTCCTCACCAGACATCAAATCTGCTGGTGCCTTAATCTGGGACTTCCCAGCCCCTAGAACTGTGAGAAATGAATGTTTGTTGTTTAAGCCACCCAGTCCATGATATTCTGTTATAGTAGCCCAAAAGATTGAAGACACTGCCCTTTCTCAAAAGGTCTGCAACTAGGCTCAAGGAGGAAATATGTGAAGGAGGAGGGAAGAGATAACACCCTCACCTCCAGGACAGCCCATCAAGGCATCTACCTTCATCTGAGCAAACCTGCCAGAGAGCCTCTCCTAACTTCTACACTCATTTCTCCACCTGTCCTTCCAAGACTCTCGAAGCACCTATTACTCCAAAGTAGACATTTTTACAAAGCATATGGTGGAAACCAACAGTGACTTTCTCCACAACTGCCCCCAAGAGTTATGGTCTGACGAGAGGCCAGCAGACCTCTATGTGCCATAAGCAGTAGAACAAGACAATGGGAAGAGGGACAAACTGAAAAAGACTGCCTTATCAAAATCCTCGTTAGAACGGTGCCAAACAATAACTACTTACGGAACATTTGCTATGTGCAAAGCACTGTGTAAGATGCAAGGATGAACCATGTTCCCATGCTAAGAGAAGGTCACAACAGGCATGGGGGCAAAGCCATGCCACTAAGTGTAATGAGGTGTCCTTGCAGCAGGGAGGAGAGTATATGAGGGGTCGTTGGTCATCTGAGTCACTTGTCTGCCCATCCCACTCAGTCCAAGGGCCTACATTCTCAAGTTGGGTGTTTCTTTAAAACACTGAATCTGATCATTAAACCTAAAAATGACCAGGAGGTGGGAGCTAAGAAAACTATTTTCATGAGCTAGTAGCAAGCTAAACTTGGAAGACAGTTATGAGTCACCTGAGACTCAGACATGTCTTCCAAGAAAGCATCTGCTCTGCTTTCTCAAGTGGCTTTGCCAGCATTCCCTTCCTCCTCCTCTACCTTCTAACAGGCTGACAAAGCCAGCAGCCTCTTCAGTGCTTCCCTCCACTGGGGCCAGCAGCCCTCAGGATAAATTATCCTAACCTACAGTCATCAGGGATTGGCTGGCAGTGCTGGGAGAAGACAACCTATTCCCAGAGCCTAAGGGACCCTCAGGTCCATTCTTCCAAATGTGAGGATCCTCAACCCTTAGGAAAACAAAGACCTGCTATTTTTAAACAACTTGCCAACATCCAACAGGAGCTAACTGATGGCTCAGGATGCTGCCAGCTGATTCTCATACTCAACACACAGGTGATTCACCCATCAATGACTGTAAAGGTGGTGGGAAAGGGGGGAAAAAAACATGAGAAAAAAGTCCTCATTGTGAAGGTGTACAATCCCTGCACTGTAATAACATTAAAAAGCTCTCTCCAAAACAAAGAGTGACCATATTCTGGGGCAGTTTTGGGGTTTGGTTTTTGACCAAGTAAACAAATCAGGTGTCCTGGAACAGAAAGATTCATATGCAAAAAAAAAGAGTCTTATCTCTGGGCAGTTTTTCTCAGCACAGATAACATTTAATATTCTGATTCACACACATAACCTTCTCTATCCTCCCTCTGTCATGTAAGCTTTGTCAGAAAATAAAACCTGGAATCCAGAAATTCACAATTGAATACGAAGAAGCAACAGTGGAAGGGAGGAGGGTTTGAGGCTAGTCTAGTGGCCCTTTTTTGCTCCATTAGCTCTTATTTCACATTTCCCAAATTCTTGGTTATCCAGCTTGAAATTTTACCAAGGGATTCATTTGGTCTAACAGTATGCTTTTCTAAAAATGCAAATATACCTCTAAGAGGAACATGGTACACTGGTGATTCTCACCCTTCCAACAAATCAGTCCAGTGGCATTTGGAGAAAAACAGTTGAGAGCGGGTGCTCAGAGGAGATGTCTTTTTACCATGGTCAAGGCACCCTCAAGTGTGATGGCACTGAGCGCTCATAAAGGCACCAAGGGCTGGAGGAGGTTTGAAAAGAGGGTCAAATATAAAGAGGAGGTAGGCAAACGCCAGAATTCACAGTCACCTCTGAACCATACCCTCTACCCCAGTGTTCACGGACTCCAAGACCCAGGCCTCACTCAGCCTCGCGCTGCGAATATTATAGTTCAATCATATTATGGACCGAACAGGTTGACCTAGAAACAGCCACCCACAAAAAGATTATTTCTAGGGGAAAACTGCATCCTAAAACTCCAAATACTCCATCAAAGAATTTTTTTATAACAATCTATTGATATTAGGGGCTACCTGCATTTAAAATGCATTCTTGAAAACTGAAACCAACTCAGACCAAGAGCTTCACTCTTTACTATGCTTAAAGCGAGGACTGTGAGCAGATAGGTGAAAAATGCTGACATCACACAGAACTTACTCTGAGCCCCAGTCCTTCCTACCTCAAGGGAATGTCTGGCCTGATGGTAACTGTAGGATTAGGACTTAAATTTCACACACACATACCCTCTCCAACTTCTGCGCCTCCTAACAGCTGAGCCCGTTAGTCACTGACGTTCATTTCACTTTAGCTAAGAACTTGAACCTATCACCCCTACACAATAGATTTTCAGACTTGAGGAAGAAAAAGCCAGTTTGGGCAAGCAGGTTGCGTGTGACATGTGGACAGAGCGCTGAGGATGCCAAGGCAAAGCAGAGAATTCAGTCCTTTTTGGGGACATTGACTTCACTTTAATTCACAGCCTCAGAGGGTTTTCCTACATCTGGCCAGGCATTCTGCAAACACAGTCATGCATTGCTTAATGATGGGGATACTTTCTGAGAAATGAGTTGTTAGGTGATTTCATCATTGTGTGAACATTATAGTGTGTACTTACACAAACCTAGATGGTATAGCCTACTACACACTTAGGCTATATGATACTAATCTTATATGCAGTCCATCGTTGACTGAAACATCATCATGTGGTGCATGGCTATACAGGAGCTCAGTTCTGGGGGTAGGGGGAGGTACATCCCTTAGTGGGAGTCACCGTCCTGATCCCCAAGACCACTAGGAATCTCAAAGTTATTCATCCTGAGGCACACCAATCCAGTCCACTATGAGGGAGATGTGCAATTAAAAGTGAATGACACAATACGATTTTTGTCATTTCCCTGAACAACTGCCACGGAAGTGTCACAATAAAACTCACTCTGGAGCCAGATTGCCTGCCACTTGGTAGCTGTGTGACTTGGGCCAGTTACATAACCTCCCTGGGCCCCAGTTTATCATTGGCTCCCTCTCATAGAGTAGATGGGCGAATTCCATGACATATTGAGAGTTTGTAGCACAATGGCTGACACCTGCTAGCTAGCACTTAGCAGTGGCACATATCTTCCACTTGAGCCTCAATTTT